AACCAACACAAGTTCACTACCAAGCTAAACCACTATAAATTAGTAAAGCTTGCTCTCCCAGGTAGTAACAATGTATATAAAGATCGTGAAATATATAAAGATCGCAGATCAAAAAATTCATATTTTTATTGGTTAAAAAAAATCACATGCTTGTTTTCTGTTTTCACATTATGATCACTTGATTGGCTGATCGAAAATAGCTATAAATTCAATAAAATGAATTAGAAAATATATAAAATATAAAAATAAAATAATTTGATAATAAAATGATTAAAATCAAACAATTGTTTAAACATTAAATAAATAATATAAAAAATAAAATAATTCAATAATGTGATAATAAAAAAAACTCTGAATAGTATAAATGATATAATAAAATAATATATAATAGTAAATAAAAAAAGAAACAAATTTAGTGATGAAATTACAAGCAACCCATATTCTTAATCAACTAAAGTTGAAATAATAAAATAAAATTAAATAAATTTATGAATATATGATAGTATAAAATGAGATCATATTAATCATTTAAATTATCAACATCATCATTAATCGATAGTTGCTCAAATTCTTTAATTGAAATACAACAACTTAAATTAAATGAAATATTTTTTAAAACAAATATTTAATCATTAAAAAAATTAATAAAACATTACCTTCAGGAATTACAAAATCATATTGTTTAGTTTCATATGCTAAATATTAAATGTACAAAATTACACTAATATAGATTAGATTAAATTGGTGATTTTTATTTGAATTAATAATTTAAGTAATTTTACTTAGTTGTTCCTCTATAAAATAAAAAGCTATTAAAAAAATTAATAAAATATAAAATGAGATACAAAAATTGAAAATTAAAAATATATTACCTTTTGTGGCATTTTTAGGTTGAGCTGAAATGTTAAATGTATATATTTTACTGGTTTGTATTTTTTGGCTACTTTTATATTCTGTTAAACTTGACTGAAAAAAATTGGAAAAATTTGACTTTGAACTATTAGATTGAATAGTTGGTTCTTCTACTTCATTATATAATGACCGAATTAATGAACCTATCTTATTTTTAATTGCTTTTGCATCAGGTCTATTATCAGGATTAGCATCCCAACATTGTTTCATTAAAGTTTATATTCATATGGAATATATTTGTAAATTTTAGGTCGATATCCATTAATTATTGCAAGAACAAAATCAGAGTCAGAATTGAATTTATGATCACTAAAGGGAGTTTCACCAGTAATCACTTCCCACATTATAATACCTAAACTATACACATCTGATTTTGTTGTATAATTTCTTTTACATAAAAGTTCAGATGCGATGTATGGGAGATTCCCATAAATACTATCTAATTGTTTATTAACTGGTCCACTCAATCCTAAATCGTTAATAAACCATCTATTATTTTTTGTTAGTACATTTCCCGAATGTAGCATTTAGATTTCGTGTAGAAGATTTAGAATACTTTTTCTCTCATTTTGGAATGACAATTTCTAATTTAATTGACGAAATAATGTAGAAGCAAAAAAAAATCAAATTTAGTCTTTCTCCACTTGTTTTGGATGCTCAAGAAAAAATTCGAACAAGAGAATGAGGAATGCTGAAAGTTATGTTGATGAACAAGTTATACTTATTGAGTAAGATACCGAATTCACTTATAATTTAATTTAAAATAATTAATACTATTAATACTATTGGTGATGTAGCACATATAATTCAGTTTAAGACTCAAAGTTTCATAATCAAATGTTATGGAGTAACTCAAGATCCGCAAACTAAAAATTATGCATTTATATTAGAATACACACCACATTGAGATTTGCATTGAAACATTCCCATGGGGAAAAAACTAGATGTTTAGACTTTATTATTAAAGGAATTAAAAAACTTTATGATTAGAAAATTATATATTGAAATTTACATAGTGGTAACATTCTTATCAATAACAATATTGTAATGATTTCAGATTTAGGATTTAGCCAGCCAGCAAGTATTGATTCAAATCTTACAGGAGAATCTCAAATATATGGAATAATTCTATATGGCTTCAGAATTATTTAAATATCACACATATTCATACGTATCAGATGTTTATAGTTTAGGAATGATTATGTGGCAAATGACATCAGGACATAGACTATTCCATGATCAAGAACATGGAACAAAACTTATCGTAGATATTCTGGATGGAAAAAGACCAGAAATTACCGAATGTTGAAATATGGTGGCATCTGATCCTTCTCAATGACCGACAATACAAGAATTTAATAAATTATCAGAAGAATTTAAATATTATTATTCTCATTATTATGATTCTGAAGACTACATTAAAAAATATCATCCAGATATATTTCGTTGGAGTATAATGAAGCTGAAAAAACGACTTGAAATGATTGAATCCAAAAAACCATTTATAAAAATCCAGGATATGAGCATCCCGATTCTATTTATTATAGTATGTACATATTAAATCCTATGTTGGATCGAGAACATCTGTATTTAGTATTTAATTTTAATGATTTTAAATGAAATTATTTATGTTAATATTTTTTATATACGATTTCTATAGATCAATTTTCTAATAATAATAATAATTTGCCTGTGATCATTTTGATGGAATGGATACCAAGTATGTATTACGTATATTATGTTTCATTTACTTGATTAATTTAATTAAATCGATTTTAAATTAATTTACTAATATTTTAATTATTTATATTTAATAATTTTAAATAGTTCTAATTAAAAGAATAATCCAGACCATAATTAAAGCGCAGGAAATTCTAGAAAACATTTTTTTGATGAATTATTGGAAGAAGAAAACATTGAAGATCAAAAATAATGTCTTTAAATTTATTTAATTATATCCTATTAAACAGATGACGTATGTGCGACAAATAATTAATAAAAATTTTATAGTGAATTAAATTTGTTTTTTATTTGTAAACAAATATAGTTTTTATAACGAATTCTTTAAACTTAAATTTATTTCATATTTTATAACGTTTATTTATTTTTTATGTATCTCTTTATTATGATTTCTCTGCTATTAGTAAATCGCCTTTAAAAGACTTTTGATTGGTAGGTTTCAAATTCCGTGGTACCATTTTTATTGGTCCTCAATTATGAGATAATAATTGGGTTTAACCTCTTTTCGGGTAGTAAAAGGTAACTTGGAAAAGGTAGCAGGCAGGTGAGTAGAGAAGCTTTGGCATAGTAAAATTTTCCCCTCTCGGCTTAGTGGAAAGGATAAAGAGTTCACACGCTTACTCAAAAAGTGCTAACTATTGTTATAATTTTTCACGGTTACATCATAAAATTTGTACATATTGTATAATGAAAAAAATATAATGGCAGATTTCTCATTTTTAACATTTGCGAGAAAAAAAAATTCTTTGAGCGATTAATTAAAACTGTTCAGAAGATATGAAAGTACTTGAATACTGTATTTGTTTTTGCTTACAAACGGATTGAAAGATTATTTTTTTCTTTAATTACAAATACTCACGAATTTTTTTACACTTCCAGAACTTTGTAACATAATTTTAATACATTGGTCAAAGTAAACTGCCTTTGAGCGACTAATTAAAACTGTTCAGAAGTTTTGAGAGTACTTGGATATTTGTTTTCACTAAGCCGGCTTACAAAACGGAATTTTTCTTTAATTATAAATACTCACGAATTTTTTATACTTCCAGAACTTTGAAACGTAATTTCAAATACATTTGACGAAGTAAAATGCCTTGGCGAACTTATTGAAACTATTCAGAAGGTATGAAAGTACGTGAATATTTGTTTTCGCCAAGCTGGCTTACGAACCGATTGAAATGCGAATTTTTCTTTGATTACAAATACTCACGAATTTTTTCACAGTTCCATTTTACGTCCAGAACTTTGAGATTTAATTTCAAAGAAAACTCTTTGAGCGACTAATTAAAACTGTTCAGAAAGTACGAGAGTAATTGAATATTTGTTTTCGCTAATCTGGCTTACTAAATGATTGAAATACGAATTTTTCATTAATTACAAATACTCTCAAATTTTTTACGGTTTCATTTTACATCCAGAACTTTGAAACATAATTTTAATACATTAGTCAAGGTAAACTACCTTTAAGTGACTAATTAAAACCATTCAGAAGGTATGAAAATAATTGAAATGTTTGTTTTCACTAAGCTGGCTTACAAACGGATTGAAAGATGAATTTTTCATTAATTACAAATACTCACGAATTTTTTTACAGTTCCATTTTACATCCAGAACTTTGAGACATAATTTCAAAGTAAACTGCCTTTGAGTGACTAATTAAAACTGTTCAGAAGGTATGAACGTACTTGAATATTCGTTTTCGCTAACCTGGCTTACGAATACGAATTTTTCTTTAATTATAAATACTCGCGAATTTTTTTACAGTTGAGTTAATTTAATAAATACGGTAAAATAATATGATATATGAATAAATTAAAAATAACAAATAAATAAGTTTCGATATTTTATAATTGTTTTGAACTAGAAATCTGTTTTTTATTTTTATTTTTATTTTTTCATTTGTATATACGAATTCTGTTTATTTATGTTGTAGGAAAAAAATTAAATGATTCATATAAGTAAAAATAATAAAAATAAAATGAAATACCTTATCATTATTGATTATTATTTTAATGTTCTCCCGTATTTATTGAACTCATTGCGGTTACGCACACAACAAATGTCATAACAACTACTGTATGTGCCATTATACATTGAACATGCCAATCTCTCCATTGTTCAACACAAAATGAAAAATTAGACACGGGCACCCTCTAACGCAAAATCAAATAGTAACAAATCAAAAACGTAAAGGCAAACGAAAAAATTCATATGCAAATAAGATAAAAACAATAATAAAAATAGTAAAGAAGAAGAAAAAATAAATAACAAAAAGATCACCGTGCCTCCGGCACGGGCCCTACGCTAGTTCATATAATTCTTCAATGAGTACCTAAACAATCTGCATATTCCGAATCAACAATTATCCTTAACAAAAACAACCGACGTTGACAGCAAGATAGATCAAGAACGGCGGAAGAAGATGGAATGATTGAAAAGTTTTCGGATTTGAGTATGAGGAGGAATTACTAATTCTAGAGGTATTCCCGAAATACCGGATTTAAGATATAGTTTATTCATAAACGATACCTTTTATCATTGAAATTTCAAATCTTTTGTTGGTAGATTATTAATGTTTCGGGATTTATTGAACATCTTCAACAATATGTTTAATTCTTATTATTATTAGAAACTCCTTTAAGTTTATTACTTCATGGTGAACAATTATAAAAAAAAA